ATAGTTGTAGCAAACAGCACGGGCTCCTGGTTCACCACACCAATAATCTCCCGCAGATATCTTACGTTCAGGCTCTTAAGATCCTGCCCGTCGATGGTAATCTAAAGCAGGGGAAGCAGACAAACACCATTTACTAGGTGTTTTTGTCAAGAACTCTCCCCAGCCCAAAGCCCATCTCTTTTAGGGGAGACTAGACCATGTCCTTTGAACAAGGGCAGCGAGACCAGAAGCTGACTTCTACAGCTGTGCCGTTAGAACACAGAGCAGTCTGCTCTCTTGAAGAGTCTTACCGTGCCTTCCTTGGGGTTGTAAAATCTCTGGATGAGCTGAACAGTTGTACTTTTTCCACAGCCACTGCTACCAACCAGGGCCACTGTCTGGCCACATTGAATCTTGAGATTCAAGCCTTTCAGTATCTGTGCATGTAAGAAAGGTTGCCAGAAGCAAAATATCAGTGTAAACTTGCAGAAACTTTAAAAACTTCAGGAAAACGTCCTTCATATTTACAGAAGTATACAGTACAATATAAAATTTAAAATCATGTGACTTTAAATTTTTTATCACTGATAAGTCATCCTAAATTTTCTTCACGATTACAACACATCTGATCCCATATAAATACATTGCACAACACACTTCACAGTCAACCACATAAAGAACCAATTTATATGACAGAATAACAATAATATGATTACCACCTTTACCTAAAATATAGCAATATGAAACAGTATTCTCATATTATGTTGCTTCAACTTTTCATTCAGTGCACCATGTAACCTATAGGTATGGTAACATTGCACAGTAAAAGTCACAGCTTAAAACTAATAGAATACACTCCATATTGTTCTGGAGGGAAAGTCATTTTGCTAAATTTGAAGTATTTTTAGTTTTTCCCCTGTGGATTGTAATTTCTGGAAGGGCTTCTCTACAATTGTAAAATTTTGTTGCATAGTGTATAGCTTTTGTGTACCATAAAATATTCATTTTACAGGCATGGAAGATACAATATTGACCTGCTTACCTGAGTAGTGTGAATATCTAACAGTGAAAAATAAAAGAATATATTGTTTTAATTTCTACTTTTACTTTATTCAGATAACAGCTGTAAAGGAGTCAGCACAGCTTTCACTACTTTATATAACTAATATGGTTGGAAGTATTTATTGAAATGGAGAAAAGAGTATTTTTTGCTAGTTTTATGGAAGGACTAATCTGCAATGCACTATTCAAATCTGATAGATAGCATCCACATTAGGGCTAAGTGCATTTTTCCATTCAGAATGTACAAACATGCATTGACACATTCCAATCCTCCCCAGTACACTGCAGCCCTGTGTCCTCATCAGCATCTCTTCCTAATTTTCTCTCCCAAACACTACCACTGCCTCTTCACCCTTGGTACCAATATCTGTGCTTCTCAACTGAAATATATCTCATTCTTTGAGGACAAGAAAACAGATAAATAATTTCTAGTATGTCTTACTTTGCTATAATCATTCTAGATCAAAAGAAGAGGTTCTTCATAAGTAATAATGGTTAAAAATGCATGAAACTGTCTTATTTAACCTTCTGACAATAATGCTATAAAAGATTTAGTCTACAGACCTTACCTAGAACTCAAACAAACCTAATGTAGGTAAAGTGGCAATAGAAGTTGCTCTAAAATGTTCGTATTACAACTGATTTCAGTATATGATTGATAAGATCTTTTTTCCTATATTAAATAAAATCAATGTAAGCTGTTTCTAAGAAAAAACATAGAAGAGAGAGTAAGGGATGGTTGAAAAATCTGTCTAATAAGGTAGGAAGTATCTTGCAGTCTTCATGCCTGACAGTTATTTTGCTGTATTTAATCCTGTTGCAAAGAAGAATTAACTTTACCATCTGGTAGCTTAAACTTAAGCAGAAATGAACACCTCAGAATTATCTGAAGCCCCTTTTCTTCTTTACAATAATTAATTTATATGGCACTTTTTAATTGCTTGCTGTAGCCTTTACTTTCTATAATTTTGTCTGATACCAGAGGGGAGAAATTTCTCTGTTCATATCATACTTGTATAAACTTAGAAATGAGATCAATAGATGTCTGTTCAATTATATTTATATATGATGAACAATCAAGCACTTAATTCACCTTCTTGACAGAAGGAAAAGCCAAAGTCTTTTTATTTTTGTTTTAGCCTACCAAAAGTAAGAAAGATCCCATTCCCTAAATCAGTGATTTTCCTTTGAGGTAGGGAAGGAAATCGTTACGTAGTGCAAATACACTTGTTAGTCAGGTATTTTCAGAGTTCATTCTAAGTCTCTGCGTTTATGACAGCACTTGCTAAGATGCAAAAAATTCTAAGTTAAGTCATTATGATGACAATATTTTTACATGATTTAGAAAATCAACCTGGAATTGTTACATTTTCAAGAAAATTTTACTTATTTCACTTTTTATTTCTTAGCTTATTATCTACATTTCAACTTTCATTTACAGTACCTCAATATCTGGTCTGGATGGGTAATTGAAGAAAACATTTTGGAATTCCAAGTTCCCTTTAATGTGGTCTGGTTTGTGGCCTGCATCTGAATAACTGTCAATTTGAGGTTCCTGTGAGAAATAAATCAAGCAGAGGAAAAGCTTATTTCCTAATGACTTTTTTTTTTTTTTGTTCATAGGGACGTCCTGGAATGTATCTTTGTTCTGTAGAGATATTAAATAGAATTTTAAACTGATTTAGAGGAGACCTGTGAAGCATGTAAATTGCATTGTTGGCTGCCTCATTACTACACTGCTGAGTTGTTAATGCAAAAATAATTTTTATAATTTTTCCTTTTAAAATTTTATATGAATTTAATACATAATCTTTAAGAGTATATCCATTGCTACCTGTACTTTGAGACTCATTCCACTGTCTGATTAACCTGAACAGATCACCTCCGATGAGCTGCTCATACTCTGTTCATTGAGAACTTCGCTCTTTCTGCTGAAATCATCTTTGTGGGAAAGAATTGATCCACTGACTATTAAGTAGAAATCATTCAACGAAGTTCTTAATTGCTACCATTTTCATTATTATCAAGGGATAGGTCTACAACTTGAAGTATGTCTTAAGAACAGTTCCAAACCTGTAACTGCATGTTACATAACTTCATTAGCTTGTAAAATCACAGCATTCCAGATTTCAGACTCTGAAAGCACATATCCAGGTTAGCAGGTAGTTTTATAGATTTGCAGACACTCATGCTGTTGTTGGTTCCACTACTGTCCTTCAAGCTTATGCTCATATACCTGCACTGGTTGTACTCACATCTCTATCACTATAGTTATAGGAACTTTCCTGATAAAAACATTACAGGGTATCTACAACACTAACTGATCCTGTGATCCAGTAGTGTGTGTTTGAAACAAGAACTCTAAAAGGCAAAGTGGAAATGACTAATAAATTTACATTCTATGCATATTTCTACCTTGAGGAAATAAATGATTATTTTTGTACTGTCATAATTGGGTAGAATTAGAAGTTAACTGTTGCAGTATAATACTAAAGATGCAACAGCAACAGAATTAGCCTTTTTAGTAATTAAAAATTTACCATAAGTATTCACAATAATTTGAATACAGAAAAGATTCATTATCTACTCATTTTTTGCACAGAGTCTAAATAAAAATACGTTGATTATCCTTCTTTAAATAAGCCTCCCATATGGAGCTGAGGTTAGAATTAATGTCAGATTTTTTATACCACAAATAGTGCCTGCACTTTAAAAAGAATGGTCTCTGAAAAGTCTTTAAAAAAGGTTTCAGAACAATGATGGGATACTCACATTGTCAATGATATTAAAGATTGCATAGGCTGCTCCTCTTGCATTAGCAAATGCCTCTATGCTTGGAGCAGTTTGTCCAATACTGAAAGCTCCAATCAGTACAGAGAAAAAGACCTGAAAGAAATGTTCATGGTGACATATAGCAAGACTTATTTAAGCAGAGAATTTCATTTATTTATATTAGATAACTCTGGGTCAGTTTAAGTAATTGACAATTAAAGAAAAAATGAAAGGCTCTCTCTTAAATAGAGAATAACATTTAAAAAAGGCCTTTTTAAGAGTCCGATGAAAACAACGATTCTGCCCAGTGTGAATATTGCAAACAAACTGATGACTGAGAATAAAACTTTCAAAATTTATGCCAAAAAAATATATGTACACTTGATGTTTCAGGATTTGTTGCACTAATAACTTTGGCAAAAGATATCCCAAACACCTAAAAGTATATTTCCACTTCAAGATGAATACAGCTTTTGATGGATCAAAACTGATCTGCAATGCACATCCTGCTTTCACAGTGATAGGGTTTAATTCTCCTTTCCCACCACAAACAAACATTCGTCCTTTTGGAATTAAACAGAGTGAATGCAAGCAACCAAGAAAAAGAAAACAAAGCAAACAAACAAACAGAACAGATAAAGTAAAAGCATATTATCTGCTTGGAGGAACATACTAGCTTTTAGCTAGTTTCAAAAGACACACCTCTAAGAGAGGTCATACCAGTGCCCATGTTAGTATGTTAAACCAGAGGTCCATCACATCAATCATTTTTCCCCAATAGCGGCCATTCACAGATGTGATACCTAAAATAAGGTATGTAAGAACAGAGCAGGGTCCTGTTCTACTTCTCCCTGCTATTCTGATAGACTCTAACTGTATTCAAATCAAAGGATTTCCTAAGGCAGTTTGCTTGTCTATATTTAATATCTTCAATGAATTTTACTGCGTATATTTTGTCCAGCCATTCCTTGAACACATGTAAACTAGCATTCAAACATTCTTCGGCAAAGACTTCAACAAAGCTCCACTGCTTACTGCATGAGGTTACAAAAAACAACATGAGTAATTGTCTGAGCATGACTGAAATGTTTTGTATGCCAGCCTGCCTTTACAAAAAATTGGCCTTGCTTGGCAAAGATTCCAAAGAGCCACTATCTCTTATCAGATATGTGTTGTTTTTTGTTTTTTGGTTTTGTTTTTGTTTTTTTCAAATCAGACTGATTCATAAGCAAAACAAACTAACAATAAACAATAAAGCAGGTAGCTTTTAAGAGATATCCTGGCTGGGCTTCCTCATGGTTGAAGAAATTGTATTTTTCGCCACATTTCTTTGATAGCTCATACAAAAATAGAATGGTTGCCTCATCAAGAGATGAACTGAAGTTATGATGAGTAAGTTATGCTTTTCTTCCTTTGGTTGTAAGATGGTGACATATTTTCTAGTCTTATATTACTTCCTCTTGCATTTTATGAATATTAAGAGATACCAAAGGTTTATGGAGCAAAATATAAGAATAGTATCAATAAACAGATCTATTTAGATCACACCACACTTCAAAAAAATCTTTTCTTTCTGCATCTTGAAAACACATTTAGTCCCACGAATGTGAAAACAGCAACTAGGAAGGGTACCATACTTCAGATTCTGGTTGAGCTGTTTCTATATCAGCGTGAGCTTATGGAAGTCAGAGAAGATGTAACAAATGAAAATAATATATGTTTAATTTGGTTTGATGTAGATTTTGAAATACTATCAAAAAAACATGTAGACATATTTATAAGAATCTTTTTTGTTAAGAAGAAAGGAAACTATTTTTCCAATTTGAAATATCATTCTGAATAAACTCAATTAAGTTCCCAAAATACACTTCAGGGTAATATTTCTGAATATAATTGAGAAGTTACTGATAAATACTTACTGTAAGAACTTTGCCAATAGTGTAATCATCGGTTAAGACCAAGGTAGTTCCATACCAGAAGGCCAGTGCATATGATGCATATATCAGTAAGAAAGCAGCACCCATAGAAATATTAGATGTAATAGACTTTCTTATTCCAATGCGTTTAGCATCTTCTAAATTTTTATGGTATCTGAAAAAAAAAAACAGAAGTTTGAAATAACTCAGACACGTACCATGGTACATAGCACCCAAAACTGTAAATGAATTATTGTAGGTATTATAAGGCATACAGTGTATAATGTAATACCCTAAGGAGATACAAAGGCAAGCCTGGTAGTCAGGGATGGAGATAACTCTATCCCTGGTAATAAAAAAAAATGCCAACATCAGTAGATCTGGCAGACCAAAAAAAAAAAAAAAAAGGATATTGCACCCAGAAAGGGCATGTGAGTTCCTTAAATAACCCGGAGTTGAGTGAACTCTGTGAACCATTTGTGACAGGTTTTGAGATTATTGTTGTTAGCTTAAGATAAAAGGTTAAGACACATCACAACAATGTTTTTCTGCAGTAAAGTGGAAATAGAAATAATGTTTAAAAGACGCCTACAGTGTAACCAGATGACCAAAGACACCATCATTGTTTCTCACGGCAGGACTGTTTTTGTTTAAAGCTGTCACTTACTGTTTGAAGTAGGTTACGCAGTTTCCAGAGTAGAGAAAATACCTCAACTTAATTTGTCCGTTTCTTAATTTGTCAGTGTCATTCGACACATAAAGTCAGTAACAGACAATTTCCAGCCCCAGCACCCTACTGCAGGAAGTGCACTGTTTACTTATGTGGGCAGACTTTCAGCAGTGAAGATGCACAAAAATTTGAAACTATCTGAAATGAACAGGTTCACAATAACTGATGAAAGTAAGCATTGCTCTTACCTTTTAATTTCTTTTTCTTGTCCTCCAAAAGCTATTACAGTACGGACTGCACCCAGAACTTCCTCTGCAACAGCTCCAGCTTTTGCATATGCAGCTTGCTCTTTGTCAGTGAATGCAGTGAGAATCTAACACAAGATCAAATATTCTGACTTTAAGAAAAGCAGAATGATCTCAAGCACTTAACTAATAAAAGCCACTGTGAAGCCTTTTGATTATATTATGTACAAGTGCAGGAGTGTTCAATATCAACAGTCTTAATTACATTATGAATTCAGTCAGATAATTCAACATCTGCGGGCTGGATTTTCCAGACTGCTTTCACCCAGTGCAAAAGAGGAGATGACTGAGCTGGTGGGGCTCTTCTCATGCAGATCTCCTCAGCCCATTCTTATCATTGGCTACCTTAGCCAGAGGGCTCAAGACTTACATTAACTGGCCATACTCTGCAAAGACTCACAGCTAGAAGATATATGTGGCAAATGCCTCTCTACTCTGACATCTTCCCTAACACACACACCTGGAAAAAATAAAGCTTGTATCATCTTTAAAATTTAAGGGAAGTACCATACAAACTGAAGGCACTCCAATCCCATTTTACTTCTCTCATTTAAGTGATCACAGCTTGGCCTAATTTATTTGGGTATTATCCAGGAAGTGCAATTATTCCTTTATACACAAGGAATGAATTTTTAACTGTAAGATCTGTGTTTTACTGGTATGAGTTGTCTCATTCTCTGTATAAGATATGCTTCAAATTAAAGCCAGTGCGTCCAATCCACCAGAAGTATAAAATTCAAACTACCAAGGGCATTTATACACAGTCCAGCTTATGTTCATAGATGTTCTCTAAAGCCATTGTAATTGTTCCAAACAATACATTCCAAATGTAAGAATACACCTATGTGGATTCATGTAATTATCTACCCTGCATAAGAACCTAACATTGAACATATATCAACCTACCTTTGCCCAGAGGGCTGCTGAAAGTCCTAGGACAGGACTGACTGCAAGTATTACAAGGGTTAATTTCCATCCTCTTACAAGACCAACAATAAATCCTGTTATAAATGTTGTTTCTGACTGAATAAGCAATCCAATTTTATCACCTATTCCTTCATTAATCTTGCTGACATCACTGAAAAACAAGTTACATTTAGACACAAAGTCAAATGTATAAACCACAGAAAAGTTTTCAGTTTTGTTATATGGGCACCAGTGTAGAGAAAAGCCTTTATTGTTCAGTGAGTTACCAACTGTTTGCTTAAAGATAGAGCAGTATGTAATGTAGTCATAGGAAATTTCTTATTTCATGTGAGAATGTAATACTATAAGACTGCTTGCCTCCGAGAAGGTTGAAAATTGCTCACAGTGCAATGTTACTGTCACTTTTTTAATCCTAAAATTTGGATCTATTTGGAAACTGTGAGATATCTGGGAGGAGCAGCTGAAGCCATTCATGTAAGCAAGGAGAGAAGAATAGCTTGTGAAGCAATTAAACTGTTCATACTAACTACTGGTGTCAGTCATCACCTTGCTCAGTTCCCAATGTGCACAGAACTTTGTACCTTTTTTCATGATGTTAATCGCAAACTATGCAGTTCTCACCATGAGATAAGTTGTATGAGATTCACAAATAAATGAATTTTAAAAATCAAAAATAGAAAATTCTTACAAGCCATACACACATATTAAGGTGAAATAACACTGCAGAAGATATAGTATACTTACTCTATGAGACGAGTGTTAAGTTCTCCTGCATCATTTACATCAAACCATCCAATATCCTGTCTCATAATTGCGTGAAAAAAATTTTCTCTAATTTTTTTAACTTGTCGGCCTGCTGCCAGTGTCCAGAATGAGGTCTGGACATAAGCAGCAACAAGAACAGCAGCTGCTATTGCAGAATAGTAGTATGCATATCTGCAAGAAGAAAAAAATAATTACCTTGCTAGTCTGTATTTAGGTTGGTGATCACTGCTGCTGGTTTAGATCTGAATTAGAATTTATGCATTTATATTTTTCTTTAAAATTTCCTAGATTTCTATGAGTAGTAATTGATAATGTTTTTCAGAGATGTAATAAAATAAATCATGCTGCTATTAGACAAGAATTGCCTTTTCTTCAGCATAGTATAAAAAAACTAAAATAATCTCAGATGATTATTTTAGAACCCTATTTCAGACACAATATCCTTCTCGCTTAAATGTGTCATGACATTTCCATAAATATCATAGCATTTTTTATTTAATACATGCAGGCCTATTCCTATATCCTGTGTGTTATATTCTCACGCATTTACGTAATACAACATGCTTGTCTATAAGAAAATATATGTGCATGTATGCTATGAATTTTTCCCCATTTGAGAATGCATCTATTTCAAGTAAATGCCACTAAAACATCATTACAGATATTTTACTTCTAAGTGAATTCAGTTCTCTGCCACGTATGAGCAAGGTATCATAAGAAAACTAAGGAACATGTGAACCAATGTATTTGTCAAGCTGAAGGTGATTTTGATCTACAGTTTTCAAATGTTCAAACAGAATCAAATCAGATCTGATTTGAATCAGAAGTGGTATCAGAACCAGTTCCTGGTGTACTTAAACCAGAACAAAACCAGAAAAGTCACGGAATCATAAAATCATAGAATTGTTTGAGTTGGAAGGGACCCTTAAAGGTCATCTGGTCCAACCTTTCTGCAATGAACAGGAACACCTACAGCTAGATCAGATGCTCAGAACCCGTCCAGCCTTACCTTGATTGTCTCCTGGGATGGAGCATCTACCACCTCTCTGGGCAACCTGTGCCAGTGCCTCATAACCCTTATTGTAAAAATCTTCTCCCTTATATCCAATCTAAATTTCCCCTCTTTTACTTTGAAACCATCTCCTGTTGCCCTGTCACAGCAGACTCTGCTAAAGATTCTGTCCCCTTCTTTCTTACAGCCCCCCTTTAGGTACTGAAAGGCCACTCTTGAGTCTCCCTGGGGTCTTCTCCAGGCTGCACAGCCCCAGCTCTCTAAACCTCATAGTGGAGGTGTACTATCCTTGCGTTATTTTTGTGGCCTTCTCCTGGACACACTCCAACATGTCCACATCTCTCCTATACTGAGGACACCAAATCAGAACACAGTACTTCAGGTGAGGCCTCACCAGTACAGAGTAGAGGGGCAGGATCACCTCCCTGACCTGCTGACTGTGCTTCTTTTGATGCAGCCCAGGATATGGTTGGCTCTCTGGGCTGCAAAAGCACAGTGCTGGCTCATGTCCAGCTGCCATCCACCAGTACCTCAAGTTCTTTTTGGCAGGGCTGTGTAATTGAATACAAATGAACGTAGCTGAATGTAATTGAACTGACTCCCGAACATATGACCAAAGATCACCGCTAAATATTCATGGTGTACATTACATATGTTTATAAAAACTACATCTATATATAAGAGAATAATGAGGGGGGAAAAAAAGCTTTAAAACCTTTGGAATTTCACTCACAAGTAGTAACTCAGCCATACTGGTTCTCTAGATCTGTAGCATGAAACTTGGCAGCAGCTAGTTGCAGAAGTCTGTGTGTGAATGCTGTGCTCAGAGAAGAACAAGGGTTTATAACTGAAGCTTTTCAAATTTTAGTCCAGCATTTCCAGTGGCTAAAATATTATACATTTTAGTCAGGGACTTTGGAACAACAATCATGAAATGAACTGGATCTAAACTGATTAATAAAATGGGTTAATATCTAACCCATCTGAAGATTGATTAGCTGAATATTGACCTTGATCTTCTTCATAGAAACTACCTAAATAATGATATCAAGGATACTGCAGGAAGACTCAGCAGTAATTACTTCAGATAATTACTTTATGATGTTATATCACATCACAGGATGGTTTTATGCTTAGACTTTGTTTCATGATAAACTGTTAGAAAAGGGATTGGTATCTTTACAACACTCACGCTAATGAAAGACATTCTGTAACTTCACTGCTGAAACTCACTAGACAATATGTGCTCACTGCATTGTACATTGATTGTTCATTTTCTTCTGAGAAACAGGTGAACTATTATCTGAGTAAAAGCCATAATCAAATATGCACATACAGTTGAATACATGTGTGTATGAACTTTGTTCATGTAAACAGTGTTTATTGTGACTTTACTGGCTGGCAGGCATACTGAGAGACACGGCTGGTGGGTACAGCTTCTTCTTCAAACTAACGTACATAATTCAAAGCTCTATTCAGAAAACTTGGGGACCTCAAAAAAGTGAACTTATACCTATGCTGTTATAAAGCCATACAGGGGCAAGTGCAGAGTCCTACACCTGGGGAGGAATAACTGCATGAACCAGGACAGATTAGGGGCTGACCTGCTGGAGAGGAGCTCTGTGGAGAAGTACCTGGCTGTCCTGGTGGATAATAGGTTGGCCATGAGCCAGCAGTGTTCCCCTGTGGCCAAGGCGGCCAATGGTATCCTGGGGTGCATGAAAAAGAGCATGGCCAGCAGCACAAGGGAAGTGATCCTCCCCCTCTACTCTGCCCTGGTGAGGCCACTCCTGGAGTACTGTGTCTGGCTCTGGGCTCATCAGTTCAAGGAAACTTTTACAGAGTCCAGTGAAGGGATGTGAAGATGATTGGGAGCATCTCCCTGATGAGTAAAGGCTGAGAGACATGGGACTGTTCAGCATGGAGAAAACCAATGGCGAGTCTTGTCAATAATTACAAATATCTAAAGGGCAGGAGTCAAATGGATGAGTCCAGGCTCTTTTTGGTGGTGTAAACCACCACCAAAGGAGCAATGGGCACAAGGGGCCCATGAGGAAAAACTTAAAAACTTCTCATTGTGAGCACTAGAACAGGCTGCCCAGAGAGTCTGTGGAGTCTCCTTCTCTGGAGATACCCAAAACCTACCTGGTCACTTTCCTATGTGACCTGCTGTAAGAAACCTGCTTTAGCAGAGGGTTGAGCTGGATGATCTCCAAAGGTCCCTTCCAACCCTTACAATTCTGTGATTCTATGAGCCCTTGTTCCACAATTACTTTCTGATGAGAAGTCCAAGCTGCTCTGGGAACACTCATACCTGTTTTCAGACTTACTGCTTAAAAGACAAAGTGACATGCAAGATGCTAACAGATAATTCCCTCATACAGACCATTTCTTAGGGCCATGAGAACAGGTACTTCTCAACATTTAGTTACTGAACTCTATACTCACACTTTCTTTTTGTCAGTTTTTCTGCTTTCCTGTACTCTGTTCTTTAATATGTTTTGACTCCTAGATAATAGCTTGCTGAAGATGAAGGGAGGGTTCCTATTCCTTTCAAGTGAGACATGATATGAGTTGAGAAATTAAGATTTTTTCACTGGAAAAAACAATTGCCTTGAAGGCCACATTAGACTTCCTGAAATCTCCGATGTTTTTCATTATCTAATGAGGAGCAAATTTCAATCAGAAGAAAAGAAGTTGAAGTGGTACAAGAAAATGCATATAAACTTCAGACATCCTTCATAAACCAAGTCCTCCAAGAACAGTCAGTAAGGACCCTGAACAAAATGCACCTATTAGCAGCTGACGTTTCTGCTTGTTTTCCATTTTCTCTATGAACCTCTAATATTACTCTTCTGCAGCAGAAGTGCTAACTGATTATTGTCTTCTGCTATTGACATGTCTCAAATGCTAGGTTTAAAGTTGCATTTAATCCAAGCCTGTGTTTTCTTAGTCCAGACATTTTAGCTGAACTTTGTGCTTTGGCAGGAAACTATCTGGCAATTTTAATTCTGCTTTTTATCTATGAAACAACATAGCTGAAGGAATTGATGAATGACATTCAGTTAATTTTTCAGCATAAAAAACACTGCTTATAAATTCAGAGGAAGGGAAAGAGAAAGGAAGAAAACGATGAAGCATCAAAACACAGAGCACCACTGAAAAGGGGACTGGATGGAGGAGAGTAAAAGATCACACAGAATTTTTTAGGAATGGTTGTGGATGTTCACAAACCTCCCAGTGTCTTCAGTAATCTCATATGCAAATCTTTAGTTGCATACATTATTCTGAACAACCATTGACTTTATGCTGTTTCAAGTATGCAATACATATGCGGAAAGAAGAACATCTTAGCGAGAAATGCTATGACAAAAAAAAAAAAAAAAAAGAAAAGAAAAAAAAGAGGAAACGACAATTTCTAATTACCTTGTCATCTCTTCTTCCAGCTTGTGAAGAATCTCTGAAGAGGAATTCATTAGAGAAGGATTTCCTTAGAAAGGAAAAAAGAGTAAATAATTTTGATAGAACAAGTTTAAACAAATTCATTTCCCTGCATGATTTTCAGCAATATTCATTATCTTCTTATTTTATTTCTTTTCTTTCTGCAAATAGAGGGCATTTGTATAATGCAAAAAAAAAAAAAAAAAAAAAAAAAAAAAAAAAGAGCATGCCATATTTCTGTCTTACAGAATAATAATAAAAATAAAAATTGATGCAGGACAGACAATAGTCACGTGTGATTATTCTGTATCACCATAGAGATATATTTAAATGGTTAATATATATGTTTTTAATGGAATATTCCAGGCAACAAGACTGTTCACAAGTTTAACATCTAACATTTGATTTCAGAGGACAACCAAATTTGATCCAGGAGTGAGTTGATACCAAAGTGGAAGTATCACTCCTCACTTTGGTATCATTCAGTGCACGCCTACCACTCTCTCTTTTATTTTGTACTTCTGATTTAGCAAAGAAGGCTATTGAGCAAATGAGTCTTATTTTCTTGAAAAAAGAAAAAATGAATATTTTCATTTATGATAGTATTTTTTCTGTTGGATCAAACAGAACAGTTACTAATTTACAACGTAGTATGTTAGCAAGTTGGTTTTGCTGACATCAATATTACAAGTCAAGATGCTCAATTTCCCCCAGCTGTTTTCTAAATATGAGTCATTGTTCTTTGCACAAGATGTATTTTTACCTGTAAAATTTCTGTCATCAAAAGTAACAAAACTATCAGTCATGTCACCAAAAATTATCATTGCTATAGGGAGACTGCTTCCATGGGCTATTGCCAAGAGAGAGCCAAATATCATTAATAATTTGTCTGTGCAGCTGGAGTATCGAAACTGTGAACAAGAAGAGAAATTCATTTTCATTGAGGTACTAGAACATTAACACAATGTTATGACTACAATATCATGAAAGTCAAGAAAAAGCTATGAATTGTATACCTAGTTTTCACAGACCTACAACTTTATCCACTTTTACAAATTTACAAAACAACTTACATGTATAGAAATAAATTATTGTAATATAAGAACTTCTATATAATGAACTTTCCAATCCAGAGGTCTGTACTATTTAAATTTATCAATATAACAAAACATCAACAAAGGGCATAGACGCCACATAAAATCAATGCCATTTGTTCTCTTGAATTTTGTCATTTGAAATTCAGAATATAGAAAATTTTAACAGCATTGTGATAATTAAGGCAGCAATTATTTTTATCATAAATTCATTATTATAGAGTTGGAAAAATTATTCCTAATGTACCATACATATTATCAAAGCTGACTGAATTCCTAAATACCTCTTGCTATTTAACTCAACAGCTCTTCTTTTATAGAATGATGGTTTGGGTTGGAAGGGACCTGGAAGATCATCTAGTTCCAACCGCCCTGCTACAGGAGGGGACATCTTCCTCTAGACTAGGCTGCTCATGGCCCCATCCAGCCAGGCCTGGAATGCTTCCAGGAAGGGGGCACCTACAGTCTCTCTGGGCATCCTGCTCCTGTGCCTCACCACCCTCGCATTAAAGAGCTTCCTTCTGATATCCAGTCTAAATCTACCTTCTTCTAGTTTAAAGCCATTTCCTCTCATCCTGTCACTACCTGCCCTTATAAAAAGTCCCTCCCCAGCTTTTCTAGAGGCCCCTTTCAGCGACTGGATGGTCGCTATCAGGTCTCCTTGCAGCCTTCTCCTCTCCAGGCTGAAGAGTTCCAGGCTTTCTCAGCCTGTCCTCATAGGGAGGCGCCATCTTCATGGCCCTCCTCTGGACCTGCTCAACAGCTCCATGTCCTTCCTTCTTGTGCTGCGAGCTCCAGAACTGGACACAGTACTCCAGGTGGGGTCTCATGAGAGCAGAGTAGAGGGGCAGAATCACCTCCCTCGACCTGCTGGTCACACTTCTCTTGTTGTGACCCAGGATATGATTGGCCCTCTGGGCTACAAGCACACACGGCCATGAGAGATTCAACAGCTCATGTTGAATCTCTCATCAACTGACACTTCTCCTCAGGGCTGCTCTCAAGCCATTCTCCACCCAACCTGTATCTGTGCTTGAGGTTGCCCTGACCCAGATGCAGGACCCTGCACTTGGCCTTGTTGAACTTCATGAGGTTGGCATGGGCCCATGTCTCAGAGCCTGTCCAGGTACCTCTGGATAGCAGAAAAAGGTCCCTCCCAGAACGCTCTAGGCAGCATCTAGAAGGCCATTGAATGGATTCTTCATTATTCTAGCTGTATTGATTTAAATTACATTGTTATTGCAATTGTACAAGCGCAAACTGGTCCAGCAAAGCAGAACTGGGTCACTGGCCAAAACGTTGGGCTATAGCTTTATAATTAGTAATTTCTATATGATTCTTGCTTTGTATACACACCACATCCACAAAATATAGAATATTTCAGTTTACTAATAGAGTATCTGGGATTTACTTCGATTAAACATTAACAAGTTATTTTAAAATATAAAGAAAATTTAAGTTTTCTGGAACTTTAAGAACTTTTATTGTCCAATTTTTAATTTTAAGTTTAATGTGAGCCACGGTTGTACCCTTTATTGCCAACTCCTGTGACAGCCTAATGAGTAATGGGTCAGATATATGTGATTGGAATATAACTCAGGTAATTTAGAGGACAGGATGACATTTGTAGTCTTAGATGTAAGGACTCCATTTTCATTTTGTTGGAAGAAACAAAAGAACATGGAAATCATAACTTATTATAAAAACAAACTGAGCACAAATTTAGCATAACTTCCTATGGGAAAGCTAAGCATGCATAACAGAAGTAAGATCATTTCTGTAATACAATCACTTCCACCAGAGAACTGCTTGGTTGCCACAGTATATTCAATTCTGTATGTTCTGTAATATCATAGTGCTTGGTAGAGACAAGACCATATGTATAGTACTCATAACATTATTTTAAGCATTTAAAATATTAAACTTTAAAATGTGCATGCATGTAAAAATATGTACACATATATATGTATAGCACAAATCTTACCAGTGCTAACGGGCTGACCATTTTAGGCTTTTCCCCTTTCTTCTTCTTTTCCTTCCTTAAGAGATGTGATAGTTTTAGTGCATTTAAAACCCAAGAATATTTCACAAAAATAATAATGCAATGTATTAATACTATTCAGTTAAAATATAATTAAGAAATGATTTTATGGGAAACAAACCTGTGTAAAACAAATGTGATTTATTAGGAATTCTTGGATGTTTGTATTTAAGCCTCCAGGTATGTAAATAGCATCAGCTCCTGACTACTATAAATTCAAATCAAGGCCTTCACAGTTCTCCTATCTCAAGGCTACAACACCCACAAGAGGGGCTCATGGTTCTCCTTTCCAATCAGGGAAGTTGTGAACTGAAGTGTTATATAGATTTCAAATCAGGAAAAAGGAAGACAACTTATAGAATTAGATGTTCTCATGCAGGGGGAATAGAATAAATTAAAAGTATGAAAAACATCAATTCCCTGACATACTTTTACTTTTAACACATTTTTTGTCTGATGATATCATATCCAAATGCCTGTTATAACTTCACTCTATTTTTGGAATTGCTTTTCAATAAATGATAGTCAATACTGTGTTTAATAGAAAAAGAGCTTCCATCATCCTTCTGCACCAAATGAAAGTGTCAATGAATGCTAATGATAAGCTGTGCTTTCTGCTCTTAGGCTACCTCATTAAAATAAATTAAAATATGAAATTCAAAAAAATATAAACTAAGATAATGTAATCTTATATGCTTCCATAAAGCACATGTTTACAGTGTCTAAGAATATATACTTTTTGTCTTCTGGATCTTGATCCTGGATGGAGGTAGCGATCTCATATGCATTTCCATCGACAGTACGCTTCTGCTTTTCATCTTCAGGATGCATTTTAAATTGATTTAGGATAGTTCTCTGTAAAATAATACTGAAAGACATACAATTCTTAAGCAAAGGACAGGAATTTCAATGACCGCTTGTTTGACAGAAAAATATACTTATTGAAATCAATAAAATTATTAATGTCACACTTTTCAAGTGAATCCTAGCAAAGGGCAAGTATAAACCTGTTGAAAGAAGCAGAAACGTTTTGAATTTGCTTACAAATGCCTACATTTTTTTTGTTTTAACTACTTGATAGCTGTGGATCTTTCAGTTAATCTCATTTGAATGATAGAAGCATAGTGCCTGTACTTCAGTATAAATTAAAAAAAAAAAAAAAAAGAGAGAGAAAGTATATGCTTATTTAGAAAAGAATGAAGCTATCTAGAGTTTTAGATGTTAGTGAGTTTAATAAAATATCTTAGGTTTAAAAAGAAGTGCACTGACTCACCGTGCAAGTCGTTCTCAGTTTGCTTCTAGTTTGCTGCTCTGAAAGATCACTCGAAAATCAACAGATTAATATGACTAGGACAAGCAGTATGGGTGGACTTTGTTCTTCTTATGCAAAACAGAGATGATGAACAGCTTTGACTCTTTTTTTTTTTTCTCTCTCGTTGCCTCATCTACACTGGGAGTAAAGTGTATGCACTTTGGACCCTGCCTCCCTTTCCTAAAGGGAATATTTAACAACTGGTCACCTGTGAAAATAAGTCTGAATAGTCACTTCTTCACAACTCTGCCTAATTATGCCTCTTAAACCTCCCAGAAATCCCTGCTTACCTTCTCACATATGGTGCCAAATGTTCCAGGTAACAGTGACACTTGAAGGTAAATCCATTCTTGAGCACCCAGAGAGAATGAAACTGAGTAACGCAAAAGGAGCGAGCTAATCTTTTTTTCCCCCGTTCTTCTAATCCTAAACCAGGGAGTAATATAACCTGCAAGGAAAATGTAGATTAACAGAATTACAGAGTCACAGCGTGGCTGATGTTGGTAGAGACCTTCAAGTTCGTATGGCCCAGCTCCTGCTGCAGCAGGACCACCCAGAGCTGGTGCCCAGGCCATGTCAAAGCAGCATCTCAATATCTCCAAAGCAGATCCCACACGCAGCCCCCGGGTACCTGTGCCAGTGCTCCACCACCCACACAGCACAGACTGCTCCTGGGCTTCAAGGGGAACTTCCTGTGCTCTGGTCTGTGTCTGCTGCCTCTTGTCCCCCCGGGGCACCACTGAAAGGAACCTGGCCTCATCCTCTTTGCACCCACCCTTCAGATATTCATACACCTTGATAGGATAACTCCTAAAGTGATCAAGGGCACTTGACAATATATGTCCTGTTAGCAACTAGGCTAGAGTGTACTCTTTCTGATTTCAGTAATTGCAGAACAGCAAGATGAGTTACAGATACAATTTTAAAAATAGCTTTGAAATAGTTCTGGTCAGCAGAAATTTTCTCAGGTAGAATTCTTCTGATTTTTGAATGCACATCTATGAAAATAGATATGTTAAACACTTCTACATGTGTGAAATGTATAAAAAGTCAAATAAAAAACTCTGTCCTAGAAAACAAGTACATTTTTAAGAATTTCTCTGTAAGTTTCACACCAGTTTGTTCAAACAAAACTTACATAATCTGATAATATCAGTTTTGTCCCTTTTATTCATGCATTATCTGTAACCTCAACATGAAAAAAAAAAAAGTTCTTTTTAAAATGTTTTGGAATGCAAAGACTTATCAGACTGAGGATTACATTAGAAAATGTAATTTGCAACTATAAGTCAAAAAAATGCCAAAGGTTAGCAAATAAAAGTATTGCCTGAGGTGACTGGTCATCCTGAGATATCTGTATAGACTACTATCCACAACAATTAATGGGAATATTTCTAGGTTTTAACTCATGTGTCGACGTGCTTTGTGCAATACCATAATTTACATCTACTTAGCTTATTTCTCTAGAGCTTCCATACTTTGACTTTTCAGTGATATAGCATCATTATTGCACAAAATTTGAGGTTAGAAAAAGATCACCAGATCTCTTTTCTGCTGTAAAACCTTACCTAACTACCAAGGGAAGCCAGTAGATGTAACCTTTTTGGATTTCATCCAAGGTTTTGATACTGTTTCTCACAATATCTTTCCGGGCAAAATGTCCAGCATACAGCTCGATAAAAACATAACGAGATGAGGGAGCAATTGGCTCAGGGGTTGTACTGAAAGGTTTGTAGTAATGGGGTTACACCAGTTACTAGTGGGGTTTTGCAGGGCTCCATTTTAGGCCCAGTTCTGTTCAGTGTTTTTATCAATGATTTGGATGCAGGACTTGTGTACTAAGTAGACAACACTAAATTGGGAGTTTGAATTATCTGTTTCAGTAGCAGTGTGCCCTGGCAGCCCAAAGGGCCAACTCTACCCCGGGGTATACCAGGCCCAGCACTGCCAGCGGGCAAGGGAAGGGAAGCTCAGTTGGCTACCTGCTTCTGTGCTCCATTTCCTTTCATGGAAGTTGTTTCATTCAAGACAGAGCAATACTTCTTGGATATTACTTTTTTTTCAGAACCTTCATTGTCAAATATTTTTTCTATGTGAAAATACTTATAAATATTATCAAGGTTTACACAACTCTCTATTTACTAAGGCAGTAGTCAATTTCCATTTACAAGTTTTCCATTTTACAGAATTTCCACTTCGATTTTACAAGTTCTGGATGATATTTATGAACCATTATCTAGAATTTTGAGCAGAAGAACTTTTGGGGTTTTTGAAAGATGACTATTCAGATCTCGAAATATCCTGGAGAGACCCATAATGGTTAAATTAAGGCTGTGATTCTATTTTCAAACATGATATAAATGCAGGATTTCAGTCATCTTGGACACACTACTGCAATGACAGAATGTACTGTAACAATAATCTGATAAGCGTTAAATCCTTCTTTAAGTGATCATTTTCCCAGATTGTTCACAAGTCTTGTCAGTAACATTCTTCTTGTTATAGCAATTTTTTGACTGCAGATATTTGGGAAACCCAGATTAGCCTGTATTGAAGCTCACTATTAGTTATCTCAGGTTATTTTCACACATTAACTTACCTAAATTTATTTATTTAAACCTCTTTTATGCATTAAAATGTCTAATATTTTATGAATAAATTGATAGTCAATTTACTTCTAGAATAGCAAAAAAATAATAATAATAATAAAAATAAAAAATTATAAGTCTTATGATTTCTGGTGAAGTTTCAACTGCTTATGCTTCCAGAAGAGAAGTTGTGTTGAGAGATTCCCATCTCAGAGATTTTGCATTGGTGCAGTGTATCCTCGTATCTGGGGCAGGCCAGCAAAGGGAAAACCCAATTAACATATGATTTGGAGCAGACAACTGACACAGAAAGTTAATCTAAATTTGAAACCAGATTCAAAACACTATCACGTGATGGCCTATTATCTTTTCTTGGAGAGATTTATCTTTTAAAGATCATTTTAAAAAATTTTCTTCTGTAAAGATTTTGTAATAATATCAAGAAATACTAACCTTTTTAAATGTTTATCAATAAAAATAGGGGAGAAAAGAAAAGAAACTGAAACAAATAATTCAAAGCCTTTGTGCATTATCATCAGAAAAAAAGGACATATTATTTTTTCTTTTATTTTCCTTTAAAGATGGAGATTTGGATTTTCCAATATACTGCAGGTAGATGGAATGGTGGAGGTGTCCCAGAAATTCTATAAAAATTCTAGGGCATTGAGCCCTAGAATAGGTTAGAACAGCTGTGAATGAGCTCTGAATTACGATACTCAGGAAAGTCATGTTCCATTTTAGCATCCTCTCTCCTGATAATCACTGCTGGAGAAGATTACTATTTTATACAGGAACTGTACAGGAATTCTGCCAACTTGGCCACTGCTCTATCAATCAGAATTGTCCTATAAGAAGAAAACTGTCGCACAATCAGGAAATAATAATTTCATGTTTCTGAAACTGTTTCATATGCTCAACCACAAGATAATTCCTATTTTCCCAGCCATTGATGTGCCTGGTAAAATCATAACAGTATAATTAATTAATCAAGGACTTTGAATTTTCATGCCTTCCTCAATGAATCTCTTTGCATGGATCCCTTTTCCCACACACAAAGAACAGCATACACACAACTTCAAAATGTACAGCAGTTACTGATTAGTTACTGCACACAAAAGTTAACTACTATGTGTTAGCACAATCAACGCCCTGAATAAAAAACAAAAGAACTCTTTACTGTCAGGAAGTTCTTGGTGAGGTGGGGTAGGACTAGTTTTCATTGTTCTAGAATGGATCTGTGGCGTGGCTGAATTGCCATCTTCCAAATCCCTGTTTTTCCCTTCATATTTTATCCCTTTTCATGATAAGTTTTTCCCCCTCGAATCCTTGAACTGCTGCCTATCTCCATCTCAACAATTTCACCTTTGTCTGTGATTTTGCTGTTCTTATCTCGAAGGATTCCACTCTAATAACTCTATTAACTTCTTTTGCAGCTCTTCCACAGATTCTGGTGATTTCCTCAGAAATCTGAGAGGCTTATGTAGCATTATCTTGGGTCATGGATAGCTGGACTTCCATGGAGGAGGGAAAGGAGGCTACAAAATCAAGTCATTACACACGAAATGTATAATACTATTTATATCATATCCTATACAGAACCCAAAGCTATTCATATTGACTTATTCCCTTCTACAGCCCTATTTAAATTGCATTTTATAAACATTTTCACTCAATTCCATGCAATTTGTGAAAAGTTTAGATTACATAGGATATGATGAGAATAAAAAATTTTGTTGTTCAGCATCCCCTATGAGCACTGAACTCCAAAAATCCATTTCTTTGTCCATTCCACAGTCACAGTTCCTCTTTCCATCCTCTTTCCATCTGTCATCCTTGACAGATGTTTGAGTTTTGTTGCTTCATTGGTTATTTCTAAAAGCAAACATGAAGACTTTCAGACTATCTAACTTAAACTGCCCTTGAGACACATTAGACCTGTCACCCCTTTCCTAATCACAGCAAATAGGAAGAACAATTTCTTCCATTCCACTTTATAATACTTCTGAAATTTTAATGCTGCTTTTGTAAGTGCTGTCTGTCCACTCTAGACAGCAAACAAAGAAACCAACAAATAAACAAAAATTTCCTACAACTTTTCTTGACTGAGTTTGTCTTATTGATTTTCTGACATTGCTATTCTCTGGACTTCACAGTTTTATTGGGGAAGTGTGAAGCTTCCATATTTCTCACGAGCCTTCACTAAATGCCTATCAAAATGATGAGAAGTGTTCATTTGATCCAGAAGCAATGAATCAGACTTCAATTCATATTAAAAAGAGCCCTTTTTTTCTACAGATATTCTCTTTCTATAAATGTTCAGAGTCTCCTTCATTTCTCCAGGAATAATATTTGCAAACAGAAAAGCTTTTGTTTCAAAAATAGGCAGATATTTTTAATTTCCATCACTTATTTGACTTCCCCATGCTACACAGAATTATTCTCACTTATTTTACTTTATCTTATATATAGAACTTTGTTACTTTAGTGAAATAACTAAAAGTAATTGCTTCATTTAATTAGTCTCATGTAGGATTGATTATGGTACTATGTCCATGTTTTACATATCTCCCTTCGACCAGGCTCAGATTGTTTTGTCCCATTTTGCTGTATACTATGCAGGAAATTAACTTATACTGTAACTGTATTTTTTTACTGTATTTTTTACTGTAATTGTAATAAAATGTGGTTCTATGGGCAGTTGTCCAGTTATACCAGATACACACCCATTTACAAGCTGCAAACCCTTTACAGAATCACAGAATCACAGAATGGCCAGGGTTGGAAGGGACCTCAAGGATCATGAATCTCCAACCCCCCTGCCACACGCAGGGCCACCTACTTCCCCATTTAATACTAGACC